GGGGTGTCAAGAATTTGTGTCAAGTCTGTTCTTGGACTTAGTTATACACAGTTGAATAAAGTACTAACTAAATGGTTATACTACACTCTCTAGGTCCAATTTTATTCTGACACTGAAACGAGAAGTATCCAGATCAGGCTGGCAAACAAAGGGGGAGAAAGCGCAGTTTAAATAGAAGAGGGAAGCAGCATGATTCCAAAAAGAGAAAACTGCCTGAACAGTTAGAAGATCTGGATGCACCAGGCGCGGTGGCTCAAGCCTGTAATCCCAGCACTTTGGGAGGCTGAGGCGGGCGGATCACGAGGTCAAGAGATCGAGACCATCCTGGCCAACATGGTGAAACCCCGTCTCTACTAAAAATACAAAAATTAGCCGGGCATGGTGGCACGTGCCTGTAATCCCAGCTACTCAGGAGGCTGAGGCAGGAGAACTGCTTGAACCCAGGAGGCGTAGGTTGCAGTGAGCCGAGATCGCGCCACTGCACTCCAGCCTGGTGCCTGGCGACAGAGCAAAGCTCTGTCTCAAAAAAAAAAGATAATTATGGAACTCAAGGTTTTGGAGAATACAAAAGAATTACTTCTTGCTTTTTTTTTTTTTTTTGAGATGGGAGTCTTGCCCTGTCCCCTAGGCTGTAGTGCAGTGGTGCACTCTCCCGGGTTTAAGTGATTTTCCTGCCTCAGCCTCCTGAGTAGCTGGGACTACAGGTGCGCACCACCATGCCTGGCTAATTTTTGTATTTTTTTTTTTTTTTTTTTTGAGACCGAGTTTCGCTCTTGTTACCCAGGCTGGAGTGCAATGGCGCGATCTCGGCTCACCATAACCTCCGCCTCCTGGGTTCAGGCAATTCTCCTGCCTCAGCCTCCTGAGTAGCTGGGATTACAGGCACGTGCCACCATGCCCAGCTGTTTTTTTTTTTTTTTCTCTTGTATTTTTAGTAGAGACGGGGTTTCACCATGTTGACCAGGATGGTCTTGATCTCTTGACCTCGTGATCCACCCGCCTCGGTCTCCCAAAGTGCTGGGATTACAGGCGTGAGCCACCGCGCCTGGTCTTTTTGTATTTTTTTTTTTTTTTTTGAGACCGAGTTTCGCTCTTGTTACCCAGGCTGGAGTGCAATGGCGCGATCTCGGCTCACCGCAACCTCCGCCTCCTGGGTTCAGGCAATTCTCCTGCCTCAGCCTCCTGAGTAGCTGGGATTACAGGCACGCGCCACCATGCCCAGCTAATTTTTTGTATTTTTAGTAGAGACGGGGTTTCACCATGTTGACCAGGATGGTCTCGATCTCTTGCCTCGTGATCCACCCGCCTCGGCCTCCCAAAGTGCTGGGATTACAGGCTTGAGCCACCGTGCCCGGCTAAGTTTTGTATTTTTAGCAGAGTCAGGGTTTCACCAAGTTGGCCAGGCCCACCTCAACCTCCTAAAGTGCTGGGATTACAGGCGTGCGCCACTGTGCCTGGCCTAGCTGTGTGTTTTTAAGGCAGATGATGCAACTAGTGTGTTGACGGTGAAAGAATGGGCCAGGCCAAGTAGAGTAGCACTCGGAATCAAAGGGAGAAGGGTCGAAGAGTGAGTGACCAGCCTCTCGGTAGGGGTCCCTAATCTAGATTCTAGGAGGTTAGGCTGGAAATAAGTGCAGAAATTAGGTCCGAGGCAATTACGTCCAAGGGGAAAGGTGGCACAGATGTTCAAAGCAGGGTCAAAGCCTCAGGGTATCAACGCCAACAGGGCCAGAGGAGGTCCAAATGGAAAGTTCTGGTTGGAAACTCAAGATTCAGATTTATAGCTCATTCCAAGACACTTGAGACCCCTCAGCGCCTGGGGCCAGGATCCCTTCCAGAGGGTAACTGAGGACAGAGTAGCAGGGTGGGTGCGGGAACTAGGCAAAAAACTGTGGAGACAGCCAGAGTTAGAGGATGGTGGGAGGAAACGGGTCTAAAGTTGGCGTGCTGGGCCACAGAACAGAGGAGGAACCCTCGGAAGAAAAGGGCAGCAGAGTGCTGGGCGCGGTGGCTCACGCCTGTAATCCTAGCACTTTGGGAGGCCGAGGCGGGTGGATCACCTGAGGTCAGGAGATCAAGACCAGCCTGGCCATCATGGTGAAACCCCATCTTTAAAATTAAAAAATAGATTAAAAAAAGAAAAGAAAGAAAGAAAGAAAAGGGCAGCAGAGGGGAGAAGCCCCGAGACGCAGGGCGGATCTCTGAACAGCACCAGGGGGCGCGAGCGGCTCCCGGACAACCTTGCTTATTTCCCGGCCTGGCCGTGGGCTGAGGTGGCAGGAGGACAAGGGCTCAGCCTTTAAATGGGGGCTGGAGTGGTGTTTGTAAACGACAGGAAACGCACTGCCGTACTAAAGGGTAGTCAAATCATCCCGCCCGTCTGCTTCCTGGTGTTATTAATACCCCAGGCACTATTATTACTTAGCGGTGACAACCGACAGGCCAGGGAAGAAGCTTAAACGGTGACAAAAGATCAAGGCAGCCAAACGCAGTGACTTTTTTTTTTTTTTCCTTCCCTCAGGCGGGAGTGCAACAGCGTGATCGCATTCTCGGCTCATCGCAACCTCCGCCTCCCGAGTTCAAGCGATTCTCCTGCCTCAGCCTCCCGAGTAGCTGGCATTACAGGGGCCCGCCACCACGCCCAGGTAATTTTTTGTATTTTTAGTAGAGACGGGGAATTTCACAGTGTTGGCCAGGCTGGTCTTGAACTCCTGACCTGGTGATCTACAGCCTCGTCCTCCCAAAGTGCTGGGATTACAGGCGTGAGCCACCGCACCTGGCAAATAAATAAATAAATTTAAAAAAGGAAAAAGTGTGCAAAGTCAATCTGTCTGTAAGGAAATGAAGAAAGACGGAGAAGCAACGATTTCGGGCTGCCTGGGTCCCTTCTCCCATCTCCCCAGTACATGCAACACCCAGAGGGTAGCTGTGCTTCAACAACACACGCAAAGGTAGGCTTGGCTCTTTGGGAGCAGTCACATGGGAGCTCCTGTTTGCTACACATAAATAGAACTCGTAGTAGAATTTGAGGATGCACTTTAAATTATCAAATAGTTCCAGCCAACAAAAGATCAGAACTGTTTTTTTTTTTTTTTTTTTTCTGTGCCAGGAGAGTGGTGGGATCGGAGGATAGACCGTTGTTATGAATATATTTTCTCTTAAAATACATTAAAAAGGCCGGGCGCGGTGGCTCAAGCCTGTAATCCCAGCACTTTGGGAGGCCGAGGCGGGTGGATCACGAGGTCGAGAGATCGAGACCATCCTGGTCAACATGGTGAAACCCCGTCTCTACTACAAATACAAAAAACTAGCTGGGCATGGTGGCGCGTGCCTGTAATCCCAGCTACTCAGGAGGCTGAGGCAGGAGAATTGCCTGAACCCAGGAGGCGGAGGTTGCGGTGAGCCGAGATCGTGCCATTGCACTCCAGCCTGGGTAACAAGAGCGAAACTCCGTCTACAAAAAAAAAAAAAAAAAAAAAATTAATAATTTTAAAAATGTTTTTTAATGATGCCTTATGAAAATACAACAGGTTATTAAAATTATCAGAATAAAGTGAGGGAGAGTGGAAGGGGAATTAACCAAACAGCCCCCTCCAAAATCCATCATATAAATTCTCTCCAGATTGTCCACTGCTTAAAGATAGAAGGGGATCCGTGAGTTTAACCACCGTACACTTTGTGATGGTGCCTGTCACGCAGTTAGTTGATGAACTCGGGGGACGCGCCAGGAGCAGTGTTTCCTATCTGAGAGGTGGACCACCGAACTCAGAGGCGACCCTCAGAGACCAGCAGGATGCCAATGCAACGACCAATACAAATATCCGAGCGTTCAATGGAGTTTTTGCAAACTCGTAGCCAGTTTCTGGGGTGATTTTTTTTTCCCCCCCCTGGGGGTTTAGCAGTCTTCCGCCGGGCCACAGCAGTTAGCATTTCTAAAGCACACACCTCAGCAGCCTGCCCCTCCCTCCGCCGGGGCGCGCGGGTCTCCTCCCCCGAGCACACGCCCCGGCTGCCCGGTCTCCCGGGCCCCATCCCCCCGCCTGCCAGGCACATTGTGCGCACTCTTCCAGGCGGCTCCTCGGCGGCCCGGCCGGGGTAGGGCTCCCAGCCCGTCTTCTCCGGGGCGGTCACACGCGTCCCTTCCCTGGGGTGGGGGCTCGCGCTTCCCGCTTGGCCGCTGATTGGTGCCTCCCCCTACCCCACCCTTCCCGCCGCTCTCCGGCCTCCATCCTACTTAGTTCCAGCTCAGTCGGCCCCGCCGCCTTCTTCCCTCGGAGAAAAGAGCCACTTGAGAGCTCCTTGGGCGCCGTTGTCGGCTGGAATAAAAGCGTTGGGGAACAGGTGGAAAGCCCTTCCCTTCCCTAGGCCTCATATTTCGAGGGTGGACAGCCCGCTCCGGCTCCGGCTCTGCCCTCGGCATCGATAATAACTGAACTCCCACACGTGCACGTTTCTGGATCGAGCCCGAGCGAGAGCACCACCCCGCGGGCCCTTTAAAAGGACGCGACCACTCAGGCCAAGTGGGGGTGGGAGAGCCCCAGGTCGTCTTCCCTCGGGAAAGTGATTCGACTCCCCAGTCCCAAAGCCCTGGCGGGCGGAGGGCACCGCGCGAGAGTGCTCGGGGGGCGGCCCGCGCCCCCCGGGCCCCGCGGTCCTGGGCCCGGGGGCGCGCGCCCCGCCCCTCCCCCTCCCCGGCGGTGCAGCTGTCCGGGCGGGGGTGGGGCGGGGGCGGGGGTTGTTGTTGTGGCGCGGGCAGCCCCGCCCCCTCCTCGTGGGCGGCCCCTCCCCCCGGCCCCGCGTCCGGCCCCTCCGCCCCCAGCCCCATCTGTTTCCCCGGCGGGGACTCGATTATATTGTAGGGGACTGGGGGCGGCCGCCGCCTCAGCCGCGGGATGGGGCGAGCGCGCGGACCCCGCGGGCAGCCGCAGCCGCAGCCGCCTCAGTAGCTCGGGCCCCCGCGCCGCCGCCGCCCCCCGCCCGGCGCCCGCCCTCGGCTCCTGCACTCGCCGAGCGGCGGCAGCAGCGGGAGGAGCGCCCCGCCGCCCCCGCCGAGGACCGCGCGGAGGCTGCGGCGCTGCCGCGGCGGGAGTCCCAGGCCGGCGGGCCGAGCGCGGGCAGCGAGGGGCCGCCGCCAGCGCCGCGGCGAGGAGATGTGCCCGGAGGAGGGCGGCGCGGCCGGGCTGGGCGAGCTCCGCTCCTGGTGGGAGGTCCCGGCCATCGCGCACTTCTGCTCGCTCTTTCGCACCGCGTTCCGCCTGCCCGACTTCGAGATCGAGGTGAGTGGCTGCGCGGGCGGGAGGCGGCGCGCTGCGCCCCCTGCGCCCCCTGCGCCCCCTGCTCCCCCTGCTCCGCCTGCCCCGCGCGGGGCGTCCCGGGCCGTCGCGCGGAGGGGCCGGGGCCCGAGGGACTTCGTCCGGGAGGCCGGGACCAGGAGGACAGCGCGGAAGGGCAGGAGGGCGGGCGGGGGCCGCGGGGCTCTGCCCCGGGTGCCCAGTGCGGGCGTCGGGCTGGGGACGCCGGAGCGGGCGGCGCGAGGGCGGGGCGGGCCCGTGCTTTTGTGGGAGCGGGAGCGGGACCCCGCGGCCCTCCCGGGACTTCTCCGGCGGGGCTGAGTGTGGGCGCGAGAGCTGCGCGCGCTCGCCGCCCGGTGCCATTGAGGCGCGAGCCAGCTGCTCCGGCGGGGCCGGGCGCGGGGGGGCGCCGCGCGGGATTAACTTGGACCCGGCCGGCGGGGAGGGCTCGCCCCGCTCGGGGAGGGGCGCGTGGCGGGGGCTCCCGGAGGCCCTAAACTCCCGGGAGGCGCTCCGGCCAACTTCGGGCCGGCGGGGACCGGGCCTGGGCGCGGGGCTCCGGGGCTGCGGAGGGAAAGTTTGGGACTCCGTTATTCTTGCACAGCGCCCTTCGTCTCGGAATATTCCGCCTCTTTATCTCGGGGCCCGGGAGCCCTTGGAGTTGAGCTCGCCACCATGATGCCCCCGGGCGAGCGCAGGGGCGGGCTGGCCTTTCTGGCCATGCCGGGGGTGCCTTCCAGCCCGGGGCTTTGTGATAACTGGGCCGAAACCCGAGGGTCCTGGCCGAGCGCGACGGGTGGCGGGAGCGTGCGGAGCGCAGCGCACTCCCCGGCCTGGCTGCGGCCAGCCCAGCGGCGGCCCCTTTCTCCCGATTTTGTGTTTGGAAGGAGCTGAGAAATTAGTCGATTGGTTGGCAGGTTGAATTGCCTTCTCTTCTGTGGCAATACGTGTCGTGACTTTTCACCTTTTGCCTTTGGACAAAGGTGAATGGCAACTGCGTTGGTCAATTTTTGTTTTCCGTTTTGCGGCTGGGTTCGCCGACGCAATAATCAAAATTAGAGCCACTCTTTTGGAAGAGCAGATCGTTGTTGCCTCCCCAGCCCCACGGCTCTTACTTGGTGCCATTTTCGGGTTGATTTCAACTCGTTTATTCCCGAGCTCTTTGCCTCACTCTTATTTTTAGATTCAGTCGTGTTTGCTGAAATATCAGTTGCTTCTCCTGTGAATGAAGTGCGGCAGCTTGCTCTCGTCGCAGTTAATGAAATCGGGGAAAATAAAAAGATCAAAAGGGTTTGGGATGGGAGAAAGAGGAGGAATGTGGACAGATAATCTAGGGCCACTCACTGGCTTTTGGCGATTCTGAGTTCCTTAAGCTGATTGAAACCATGTGAGCAGATCGTGGGCTTCTCCACTTTTTAGGAGGAGATAATAACTTGGACGTGTTACGCAGCGCCACAGCGTTTTCAAAGTTTGAACGTGAATGTAGCAAGCATAATTTTATTAATGAAAATGTTCTTGAGACAACTTTATATGGACTAAAGAACAGAAACAGAGCCACGAAAGCTAAAAAAAAGAGTTGGGAATCTTAAAGGTCAAGGGATATTTCTCAGTTACTCTGATGTCCTGCGTTTTCTTTCAGTTGGGACAAAACCGTGAGTAGTTTAATTAGATCCTGCAGTCAAAATGGTGGCTGTGGTGGGAGGTGCCTCTGTGACAGGGCCATCTTGGGTACGGGGAGACTTGAACGTAGCCCGTTTTCTTCCTTGCAAGGTAGTAAAGTTGAGGCGATGCTGGGATGATGAGTTCAGAGTTTAAAGACCCATCCTAAAAATATTGTTGGTAAACCTTCAGGTTCCAGAATCCATATATTCCCATTTTGTTGATGGAAAAATAGAGGTGATTCATTTTGCCTTAAGTACTCGCAGCATATTTAGAATAACCTGTAAATAGCTTGTCCTCTGTTATGAGAAATAAACTTGTGGTTTCCGAGAATTAGCTGCCTTAATTTCTAAAGGAAATGTAAACTGATTAAAGAGACAAATTTATATGTATAACAAATGAAAAACCTCTGGAGTTTACATGGTGAATAATCAAGGCTCTTTGATGTGACTGTCTTCTCTTTTGACTTCAGTGTTTCTTGGAAATGACAGTTTTTCGGGCTAAAATACATGGTCTTTGAAATGCATGCAACAGAAATGAATATTTGGCTTCCAACATGTGCAGGTTTCAAGAACTATCCACACTCGTTTTCATTAGGAGATGTTAAGTCAGTGGATAACAATGAAAGTGACTTTGATCCATCTCATGTTAGGTATGTTTTGATATGGCAAATGGAAATTTTAACTTCAGGGTTTTAGTAGGTATCAAAAATTCGAATTTTGTTGGAATAGATTATTATGTCTGATGAAAAAATTAAGATTTAAAAATGTATTTTCTTGGCTGGGTGCGGTAGCTCAGGCCTGTAATCCCAGCACTTTGGGAGGCTGAGGCAGGCGAATAATCTGAGGTCAGGAGTTCGAGACCAGCCTAACCAATATGGTAAAACCTGGTTTCTACTAAAAATACAAAATTAGCTTGGTGCGGTGGTGGGCTCCCGTATCCCAGCTACTTAGGAGGCTGAGGCAGGAGAATCCCTTGAACCCAGGAGGCCGAGGTTGCAGTGACCTGAGGTCACGCCATTTCACTCCAGCCTGGGCAACAGAAGTCAAACTCCGTTTCAGAAACAAGAAGTGTTTTTCAGACTTCTAACACATTTAACCTGTTGACTTTCCAGAACTCAACAAAAACACTATCAGTTCTGATTCTCTAAGTGTACATAAATTATTGTTTATTTTTCTAAGATGATTTTATTTTAATCTAATAGTTTATGGTCCTGACAGTTTGAGAAACAATCCCTTGTTTAGATTTTATGATGCAGTGGAAGACCCTTATAAAAATAAAAAACGGCCGGGCACGGTGGCTTATGCCTGTAATCCCAACTCTTTGGGAGGTTGAGGCAGATGGATCACCTGAGGTCCAGAGTTGGAAACCAGCCTGGCTAATGTGGTGAAACTCCGTTTCTACTAAAAATACAAAAAATTAGCCGGGATAATTTTTTTTTTTTTTTTTGAGTTGGAGTTTCACTCTTGTTACCCAGGCTGGAGTGCAATGGCACGATCTCGGCTCACCGCAACCTCCGCCTCCTGGGTTCAGGCAATTCTCCTGCCTCAGCCTCCTGAGTAGCTGGGATTATAGGCACGCACCACCATGCCCAGCTAATTTTTTTTGTATTTTTTAGTAGAGACGGGGTTTCACCATGTTGACCAGGATGGTCTCGATCTCTTGACCTTGTGATCCACCCGCCTCGGCCTCCCAAAGTGCTGGGATTACAGGCTTGAGCCACTGCGCCCGGCAGCCGGGATAATTTTTTATAGACAATCTCAGCTACTTGGGAGGCTGAGGCAGGAGAATCGCTTGAACCCAGGAGGCAAAGGTTACAGTGAGCCAAGATCACGCCATTGTACTCCAGCTTGGGTAGCAAGAGTGAAACTCTGTCTCAGAAAAATAATGATGATAATAATAATAATAATAGTAATAGAATAAAAATAAAAATAAATTAAAATGCTGAGCCATACCTGTTAGGCCATGTGGGAAAAGCCCGACAGTCTTAATTTACTGCAACTTTAAAAGATAAAAATGATGAATCATAGCAAGTGGTAAAAGTTGGAGATCATTTATTTCAGGAAACCAGTTTTCAGCTGTGGGAAAGATCTCATTTTTACCCTTGACCACCAGGCTGAATCCGTGGATTTATAGAAAATTTGAGAAGGGGAATCCTCAAGGACGTGGGTTCTATTTATCTAAAGTGAAGCTATCTCAAAGATAGGTGAAGGGCCAGCAGGATTCATGATGCAGTTCTCCGAAAGATTAAGACTTTCCGGCTGGGCGCGGTGGCTCAAGCTTGTAATCCCAGCACTTTGGGAGGCCGAGGCGGGTGGATCACGAGGTCGAGAGATCGAGACCATCCTGGTAAACATGGTGAAACCCCGTCTCTGCTAAAAATACAAAAAAATTAGCTGGGCATGGTGACACGTGCCTGTAATCCCAGCTACTCAGGAGGCTGAGGCAGGAGAATTGCCTGAACCCAGGAGGCGGAGGTTGCGGTGAGCCAAGATCGCGCCATTGTACCCCAGCCTGGGTAACAAGAGTGAAACTCCGTCTAAAAAAAAAAAAAAAAAAAAGTCTTTCCGCTTAGATAACTGTCCCCAAAACGTGGATATTTTAGTTTTTGTATTTATTAAATGAAAACACTTTTTACTCTATTATTCCATCTGGAATATACAGGATTGCTTTAGAAGAGTCAACATATTTGATTCTTAGTTTTAGACGAGAAACCTGTGTATATGATAGTAATGCTTCATCTCAGTTCAGAGTTCCTATATGATTACAAAAAATTATATAAAAGTGAAAATTATCATAAAATACGGGTAAAAATTAAAACCACCCATAGTTACCAATCAGGGATGAAAGTTGTTAACTGTTAAAATTGTATCCTTCACTCAGAGATAAGAGTATTAACATACCTAGTGATTCCTAAATATGCTCACGATGTCATTGTGCTGTAGATGAGATGTTTTTGCTTTTCATATGAGATTGAGGTATAGCTGGGAGATGGTAGCTGAGTGACGCTGAATTCAATTGTGTCATTAAGCCCCTGCTATGTGCTTAACGAGGAACTGGGAGGTTTACCAAAGAAGCTCTTACCCAGCCTTCTTGACCTCAGCAGATTATCTGTTCATATTTCAGAAGCAGCACATTTTATACCACATGCGTTAAATCAAGTATTTTATAATCGTTTAACATTCTGGTGGGTTTGGTTGGCTGGGATGTGTCCTGATTCAAGAAAAGAAAAAAGGCTAATTGACCCCTCCAATATTTACTACTGTTTTTCCCCTAGCTAAGTGCCCTGTGCAGTAAATACACTGTCTCACTTGATTAAGGTAAGG